GTCATGGTAGCAAGGAAGTTAGGGCAGCGTTGCCGATAGTATCAATGACGAAGGGGTGGTCCGTTGGTAGGGAGACGGCGCTAGTGGTCCTTCTCGCTCGAGCGAGATGGGGAAGCGAGGAGGAGAGGTCGCTGGCTGGGGGGGCAGTGGCGGTGTTGGTCGATCGGCCAGGAAACAATGCCGACAGTGGGAAGGAGGCAACAAGGGTCACTGTAGGGCGCAGCCTGCCGGAGAGCAGGGGCGACGGTGGGGAAGAAGGGAAGTAGGGAACCCTTCTTGGTGGCCGCCGGGGTAACAACCCTTTTTCCTTTTTTTTTTTTTTTGAATAGTTACGTTGCAGCGAGAACGCCAAGGATCATTACTCTGATACTAAATGATAAGACCCTAAAGTCTTATCGTAAAAAAGAAAAAGAAAAAGGGGATGATCACTTCGAGGGGATCGGTCTCCTTGATCGCTTCGAGGGGATCGGCTTCCTAGGGTTTCTCAAAAGACAGAATAGTATTTTTCATAGATAACTGAAAAGAAGCAGTTACATCCCTAATTATAGAGTTCCGACTTTAACTAAACTAAACAAACTTAATAAATATGTAAAAAATAAAATTAAAGCATAGAAAATAAAAGGAAAAATAAAAGGATCCTAATAGCACATTCTCCGAGACTATATCAGGTGGTGGTACCGCCTAAACATAGTCTCCGAGAGACTGTCAAGCGGTGGTACCACAAAGTGACAGGGTGCCAGGCGATGGTACCGCCCTATCAAGCGGTGGTACCGTCTAGTGTCAGAAAGCACTAGCGATGGTACTGCCAGTACTCGGAAGACCCGGGATGAGATATTTTTAGGCTCTAAGTTTGAATCCACTTGAGGCCTATAAAAGTGGTAAAACGCTATAGTAATCACTGGAGAAATCTCTTCCTCTGAGTTCTAAGTTTAGAATTGTATTTAGAGAGGAGTGTGTGCTTGTAAATATTGTCTCCTAAACCTATGAAAAGGAGAAGAGGGTTGTAAAAGGGTAGTTGGTCTTTGCCCGTTGAAGGAATACCGTTAGTGGATGCTGGTGGCCTCGATGGAAGAGGAATCGGGAGTGGATGTAGGTCACGATGACCAAATGACTATAAACTCGATTTGCATTTCTTTTGAGCAATTTACTTTAACTACAAACTTCCTTACTTGCTATACTCTTCCGTATGCTTTCAATTTAAGCATCTTTACGAAATAGGTTTTTATCGTATGAAGATTTTTGAACCGACGACTTTTATCCGCTGCACTAATTCACTCCCTCTCTTAGTGTCGATTCGTTCCTAATAGTTGGTATCAGAACCACGTTATTTCTCATTTGGTTTAACACCCAAGAAAAATAACTCTTATTAAATTTCATAAGGGTTTTTCTATCATTCGTCCTTCCATGTTCAGACTACATTTACTGAAAAACTCGGATGAGAGTTTTCTTACTTTTTATAGATTTAAATTTATGAAATACTATTTAAAATAATTTTAAAAAATTTTCTACTCTAATAAAAGAATGGAATGATTTGAAGAACAACAGGTAAATACAAAGAACATCAACTGACCAAGATTACTAGTGCCAATATTTAACCTTATCAACAGCTACAGATCAGTTGGTCTTCCATCGTTATCTAGCATGTGTTATGTATCTAATAAATTCTGGTTGGACATTCTACCATAATCCATTACTCTGATGAAATTATCTCCCATGTTCCACATGTGAGAGCTTCTAGCCACCTAGTTATCATCTTTGTCTTTTGTCAAATGAAAAATCAACGGAAATCACACTGCTTACATGACCATCAGTCTCATGTGTCATTTGCAGCTCTGATGAACCTCCATATTCTTTCATCTCTTGTTCTTCTTTCATTAATCCTTTTGATGTTGCGGGCTTTCTGTAGTGGGAAAATGATTCGTCAAATGAATGATGGGGTGGTGGGGTCAACTCCTCGGGATCATATTGGTCATCGTCCATGGTGAATTTCTTGGGAGAGTTTTGCAGACTCTCGGCCTCATTATGATGATACTGTAAGACGTGAAGTGGTGATAAGCGATGGGTTGGAGTAGCTGGCCTGCTTGTAGACAAAGAAGGCGTCACACTTGCAGACCTCCTGTTCTCTTTCAAGCGCTTCCTTGCAGTGTGATGCCACTTTCTTAGAGCAGTTGCTACTCTCTCATTAAAGATGGTAGGTTTCAGATTAGACCCCATCTGTATAAGATACAACAATTGTATGTTTTTCAGACTACATATGTAGGATGTTCTTTCTCTTCTTTTTTTTTTTCGAAAAGCATGTTTGATTATGTAATATACCTGTGTTACCAGTGCATAGAGAGGTAGTGTAACATAGCTACATAGGACCTGTATGAGAACACTGGAAAAAAAAGATGCGCAAGTTAGAACTATTGGGTTGTATTGAATGTGTATCACAGTTTAATGAGAATATTTATAAATTTGGCATCAATCGAATACTGAAATAATGTACAGTGCTCAGATCAAAAGCTTCGGGAATTAATCTTCTATAGTCTGAACAACTTTTTATCTCATATTTTATCGTACCTAGGATGAGGACAATATACCAAAGAGAATTTTTTGGTTTGTTGTTGGTTCGCTTCATTTCGGTTTAAATCCTTTAAAAAGCGATGCTCATTGTAAGATGTGTATTAGCTAACTCTACTGTTATTTGGCAAAAAGTGCAAGGTTTTTTTTTTTTCCCCAAATAAGCACACACTAGCAAATTTTCTCTAATGCATAAGTAGTATTTTCGCATGTAGAATTTTTTTTAGAAAACTGAACTGCATAGTTTTGCATGTCGACTATATCACGTCATCGCATTGCATTTGTTTGTAAATTCATATATAGCTGGTTATTGCTTGGACAAAACAACTGCAAGAAAAGAGTAGGAAAACTAACCCCATGGAGATTCGAATAACTATGTCTTCTATACTTTTGTGGAAGCATGAAGGGTAGCCAAACTCGTACTGCAAATGATTCCAAGTATCAATAACGTCAAATTAAGTTATCATTTTAATTTGCTATCTACGAAAGTTTGGTCAAGGTTATGGATGATAAGTCTTCTTTTTTTCTTTTTTTTTTCTCACCCAACTCCAGGCAAAGAAGGCGAGCTGAAATGCATTCTGCAAAGGAGAAAGTGTTGAATTACGCTACAATTATAGTTATTTAGAAAATTTTGATTTAATAAAAATTACCTGAAATAGGACAAAATGAATTAGAAAGAGTAGAAGGCCTGGGCGGTTGAACCAGAAGAGTTTGTCTCCAGGACGAACAACTGGGACACCCTTAACAACATCCCCACGTTCCATAATTTGTATAGCCATCTTTGTAATTATGACTTGAAGTTTTGTTCCAACCATGAGAACTATCTGCAAATATACTTACTATTGATAAACAGTTTATCATAATTTTGTACTAACTCAGTAAAATGTACTTACTATTGAATTATCTTCCGATCGTCATGTCATAGTTCATGGCATGCTGAGAAGATCACATGCTTTTTTTTAACTGATTTGCCTATGATTTGTTTAATCATGTTCCATAGCTGAGATTAAGCTAACACTTGATAGGATGCTCGTATACATCACCAGATAAATTTTTTATTTCTTATTCACAGTAACATATACTTTGGTACAAAACTTTCATAAGCATTGAGGACTGACATTTACTGACATGCTAAGATCATGTGCAAGTGTTTCCGTAATTGAGAAAAAGTAATGACTTCACAGGAAGTAGAAGTGAAAGTTAGTGTTGGAGAATGCAATTTAGACTTACAATCAAAGGGATAAATGGCAGCCATAAAGAGGAACGCCAACCTGAGAACATATAACAACCATTGAACTGTCATCTCTGTGCACATAATATCATAGGCAGAATTCGGAAACAGGAAATGTCAATACATACCATGTGTATTAAATAGCAGGAAGCATACTGCAATGAACCATATTGTGGGGCTACAAATATTAAAATGAAGAAGAAGAATAAGAAGAAAAAAGAAACCAAGCCGATGAAACAAACAACTGAAAATTTTGAAGGTGTTGGCATTAATGCACATTCTAATGGCGACTTAATTTTGGTGGGGAGCATATAAATCAATCGTCATACCTTATCCCAACTACAACTTTAAAATCCTCTTCAAGCGACCGCTTTATATACTTCTGAAAGTTAAACTTGCTTGAACTTTGCGGCGCCAAGTGTGCCTGAGATTCTTGTAGTGTGAATTTGCAGCTTGTGTAGCTAAGGCAAGTACTATGTTGTTGATAGAACCAATGACTAGTTACTTACTATGATGAACCCATGTCGTAGCGTCAAATAATCAACTTTAGAAACTGAGCTCACAAATTGTCTGATAAAGCAGACCTGTTGCAAAAGATGGTCAAACAAATGGTCAATATAAGGAACATAATGGAGTGTTTTTTTCTTTCTTACATTTTATCTTCCTTCATGATATTACAAGCAAAGAGGAAGATCAGCCCACGGTAAGTGACACAGATTATTGGTTTCAAAACAAGGAAATTGTTGATATTTAAGGCTCCTTATGTCATCTAATCTTTCTCTCTTCTTGATCATTCATTATCTACAAGCACTGCTTTCTCTTCCATTTTAACTGCTGCTAGACATTTTTTATTTTTGGTGTAAGAAACAACAATCTATTTTCCTAGAAAGAGCTAATGATCAGCATAGCATTATTTAATGAGTCTATCCTATCCTACTAGAACATTACTGGAGTTCCCTGATATGCTACTAGTGCAGGTTTCGTACAAAGTAAAACAGGATGTACTGGATTTAGATCTTACAATCCAGACGAGAACATGCGACTTGCTCCAGAAATTCAAGTGCCGACGGCCAAATGATGTATCCCTTGCAAATCTAAACCTGTCAGGATCTGTTTAAATATTTTGGACAGAGTTGCAACACATTCATCAGTGCTATTCAAGTGCAATGCAATACAATACATCAACAACACAAAGCAACATGTAGAGGCATACTAATGTACCATGAGAGAATTGGTATTCGGCTGTTTCAGTCTCTAATTCCCATGATTTCCACCTTCTCATCTGTATTGTATGTGGTACATGCATCGCCCATAACATATATAAGTTGATGTTTGTTATGAATCAAGTTCAAGCCATTGTATTAATTAAACACTGCAGTCCGTACCTTCAGTCTACCCAGAGCCATGGTGACCACGCAGTAAAGGATGTGGGAGACGGCCAAGGCAAAAATGAAAATGTGAAGCTGATTGATGCCTTCGGTGGAAATGAAAGGAACTTTTCCCTGTATGATTTGGCATCGAGATGTTAGGAAACTTTATTGGAAGCTTTTGAAATCAGAGACATCAAGACCCGATGGCGAGCAGACTGATCTCGATAGCATATCACTATTGGCTTAGTGAGGTGGAACTTTATGATAGGAAAAGGCTTAAGATTGAACTAATCAATTATGGTAGAGAACGTTTGTACGGTTTGACGAAACTTCAGGTGGGGAGATAATTAAGTCAAGTATATTAATTATGAATGTTCAAAGATGCCAAGTTCACTCATTTTGTCATTTGATTTTCTTTTTTAAATCTATCATCAATGTTGACAGAGGATGAAAGGAGGTTTCTTGCCTTGGCTGAACATTTGTCTGTTGACCCTCCTCCAACTAAAATGCGTCGGAATCTGTCCGTGGAGTCAGCACTTTGCAGAAGCCTTCGTCCGTTGTTGTTTTCGTTTGAATCCTCGGACCGGTGCTCGTCATCGCCTGCGATGACAGCCTCTTCCGAGGCCTTACATGGGTGCCATGAATTGCCAACACTCTCGGACACACATATCTCTGATATGAGGTTTTGGCTCACAGTAAGAAGCAAGGATATGAAGCCCAGCAGCATCAATTCTGTAAGACAAATAAACTATGTTGCATCAATTTCTCTTTCTCTTGTTCCATTGGTAGTTGTTATGTCAACACTAACGAAGGTAGGTAATTAATGTAGAACCACAAACCAGATTTGATCTTTTCTAGTGCTTCATATAGTGCGCTTTTGTGATGCTTTCTTAACCACTGCAGGAGGCCAGTTTAGCTATTGCTGATGATGCATCCAACCAGCATGCACAAATTGTTGGGACATGAAACAAACTTGCCTTGCCAATACGGTGGATGATTTGCTCGATGATGATCGAGAGGATGACAAGAACCAAGCAAACTGCGGCGACTGCCCACGTCGGAGTCTCCACCAACGATCGACTACTACTGCCATTACCACCACCGCCGGCCATGGGCGCGTACCCTTCGATCCCAAGAACAAATGTTAGGGATAGTATGGAAAATATGATTTCTACAATCGACAAAAAGGTGAAGAAGATATATAGACATCGAGGGAGAGATGATGATTTCGGATGGCTTCTTTTTTGTTTTCTTTTGCTTTTTTCCTTTACAAGCCTTCATCGTTTCTATCATGTCATAAATATAGGTGAGAAGGCTCGGTATGCTTACGTACTTGGCGGCGGCTAGGTGAGAAGGGCCGGTTTGCTTATGTGTTTGTCGGCGCCTAGAATCATTTAATACCAATCTCTTCAAGTCATATATTACGGCTATAAACCCTGATGTAACTTAACAGGATCGACTGTCCTATGGACCCTCTAAAGCTGTCTAATGGATCTCTGCAGATAACATTAAAGCAGCTTGTAGATCCTTTAGGTTATATCTTCTAAATAGGATTTTTGTTATGCAAGAAAGTGATTGTTGTAAATTCTATTCGAAGTAATTGTAATGTAACAGCTACAAATAGTTTCAATCTATATATATATATATATATATATATATATATATATATATATTCAACATTGTTCTGAATAATGACATAAGCATGATATGGACATCACCTGACAATAATGTGGTCGCAACTTGGATGACACTCATTACCACATAGCGTGTACATCACTTTTCATCATCTTGGTTTGCATACAAGTAATTTTTTTTTCTTTTCCCTTTTTTGACATGTATAGTAGTATTTTAACTAAATATTTTATTGGACTGAACATGGGTTATAGCTGATGACAACTAGCATCTAGGCTAAAAGGGTGGAAAGACTTTCTTTAAGTTTGTAAGAACAATCTAAGTGATTACAACTTTCGAGGGCTTATAATATATTTCAGTATGGTACAACAAATTTTCCTTTTGTCGTTTTCTCTGTTCTTCTGTGTCGTCGACTAAGAACAACTCTCAACGTTCCTCATTTAATTTCTATCACTTCCTTTTTCTACTTTTTCAATGTCGATCTAAACGTGATACGTGTGTGAATCTGACTGCAGAACTATTCTTAGCCTACAGGTCAAACTTTGTCCCCTGAATTTTCAATATATAAATATTTGTCCGTAAGTACAGATCAATGATTCCTCCCTCAAGTCGATTCTATGTGCGATAAACATGTGGAAGTAACCTTACTCATCTCGTATAAGCAGAACGATCGTCTTTTTTGATTTCATCTTCATGACACAATGATTGACACGCATGTGTCAATCTACATGTTGACATAAGAATAAGATATGGGCATACATATGGGTTTAGACTGATGCCAAGTCAACAGTACTTAACGAGGGCGTGAAAGTTAAGTCGATCACTCATTAATTAGGTTGAGTGAGAAATAAAACGACACAATTATTGACATGCATGTGTCAGTCTACATGTTGACATGAGAATAAGATATGAGCATGCATATGGGTTTAAACTGATGCAAGTCGACAGTACTTAACGAGGGCGTGAAATTTAAGTCGGTCACTCATTAATTAGGTCGAGTGAGAAATAAAATGAAAAAAGCAGCATGGGAAATTCTTGGATCGAGGAGGATTAGTTTTCTCTTAGAAATTGGTGAACAAGGAGTTGGTTTTTAATGACGATGTTTTCTTCCTTCTTTCCTAACTACATCGCCATCCTTTTTCTGGTTTTTTCCTGTTTGTCAACAAATTAGAACTTTCCAGCTGAAATGTCCAATATTCTCCCTTCGGGTAGATACAAAAGAAACTTCAAGTTATACGATGTGATGGTATTTTTTGTGTGTGTGACAGGTTGACTTGGATATATACATCATAAGGTGGATTGAATGGAGGAGAAAATGCAAAAGACGTACGTACACTCAATCTAAGCTATATTTTTCATTCATGCAACTGGACATCCAAGGGAATAAAAAGATTATTTATTTATTTATTTATTTATTTATTTATATTTCATAGGGAATATAAACAAATTAGGTTTATGCAGATGATACGTGGGATATTGACAATTCCAATTGTCAATTCCTCAATGCATGCCGTCTCACCCCATCTCTGGAAATTAAGGGCAATCAGTGACATGCATGGTCTGTGAAGAAAAATAAGAAACACAACAAGAAGTGTCGTCACACCTGCCCAAGTTTGCGTTGATTTCTAAACAAGGACAAGGAAGGCTTGGACTGGAAGACAAGTCAAAGGCTGCACACCATTAACCAGGAAATATCATTGGAGGAAGGTGCAAGTTTGAAGAATCAACTTCATGAGTCCGTCAAAATACCCCAACTTCCTCCCATGTTTTATAAAATTCTGTATGCTGATTCTTTTCCTAATTTGATGTCAGATGCACACCTCACAAAATTATAACTCTCTTTCTTTCTCTCTCATCTAACTAGGGTTTATTTAACCTGGACGAGGTGTTGTGTATTTTACCTATCTCGGTCCGGGAGTGAATCGAGATGAGGATCATATCATTCCGCTGGTGGTTAGGATTAGTGATCGCATCTTCACAAACAAGAATCTCAAGGATGCGTTTGATCTCCTTAAATCTAGTGCCACTGGCTGTCGTTGCCGATTACCCCATCCTCTAGTGCTTCTCCTCTTCTTCCTCTCTCCTCGCCTCTGCCCCCACCTCCTTCTTCTCCTCTTCTTCTTCCTCGAGCCCTCACCCTATGGTACCGAAGCACATGCTGATATACCATATGTCAGATACGAACCAAGTATATACTGATCCAACTAGAGACTGATGTAGGTCCAGTACTTGCTTCAGATCTAGCATGATTTAACAATGTTTGCAGACTCCAAAATAATTTAAGATAGATATAGGGATATGAGTTCGCTATGGCAGTGTACATTTGCTCTCCCCAAAAGCAAGGCTTGCTGTTAATCTTTCGTTTCATGTGCAGATCCCCAAACAAGGAGAGATGGTGTTTGTTTTTGCTTCTGCCATGGTATTCAAAGTTTGAAACTTACTTCTTGCCTCATAGATTAAGATAAAATAAGATCATTCATGTACCTATTTAACCTGATCTAGCTAACTATGTCCGCGTGCAGTTAACTTGCATTCATCGTCGTCGGCAAACTAAACCTTTGATGTACTAGTGCTCATTTTCTCTCTCTCCAAAAGCATGACTAGCGTTGCAGATCCTCAAGCAAGGACCAGACATTAAGAAACTTCCAGTGGCCATGTCTCAAGGCTTCTAACATCGAGAAACTTCCTGTTTGAGAGGTTCAGGTACGTTTTGTTGCTATTTAATATGATCTAACTATGTCTAAGAGATCTTTAGCTAACTACAGGGAAATGATTTTTACGGATCAGTGTTCATTTACTCTCTCCAAAAGCATGACTTGCCGTTGCATATCCTTAAACGAGAAGAGATGAAGCTTGTTTCTATTCACGTCAAAAGCCATGGGTATTCATAGTTTTACCCTTCATTAACCTCAAAAGAAAAAAGAACCAACATCCTTATCCTAGTGCAACAATATCAGCATAGCTTTAGTGGCGTACCTCAGTAGGTACGTGATGCAGTACTGGAACAGCAAGAGAGGGAACTTTCAGCTCCCAAGAGACTCTGCCCTCTCCCACCGGGAAATGAAACCAGTGGAGGATCTCAAACTGCAAAACCAGATATATATCGATGTACTCGTCAATATCAGATTGCTTGGCCTGTATGTATGTATATATAGGCTATAGGCGTAACTGATGACGACATGAGGAAGTCTGGAACAGATCTTCCCAGAGAAAAGTGAGGCCACTCGCACATTGTAGACTAATCAGACTCCAAGACTTGGAAGCCCACCATTTGTTTATGGAGCGTGGAACGAGTCAATTTGAAAAGGCTGGTGAGTACACACGATACATGTTGATTCCATGGCCTGCCTGGCACTAATGGCTCCATAAATAATTTCTGCTTTCTTCATGTGTTTGTGTGTGCATACGTTTGCAAGGTCGCAAGTCCAAGCACTTTGGTGTAGCTTGAAATGACCAGTTCAAACATCAATCTTCTGATGGTAAATGCTCCATCTGGACCATCTGATACAAAGGGAAGCTTAGTGTTTTATTGCATACATTTGGAGAGTCTTGGTGAAGGAGAAGGAGGAGGACAAGAAGAAGAAGTGATCAGACCTTTCGTTGAGGAAATAATCAGGATAGGCAAAAGCATTTCCAGCTAAGATGCCTCATACAATAAAATATACTGTCATCTGATAATTACACAACTCAAATGATCTTTATACAACTTGACAAGTACTAACAAAGAAGTAAAACGTGAATTGTTCCTTGTCACAACTTTCGCATGGATCGAATAAGCACAACACACAGCACAGAGCTCAATATATACTGTATCATCTGATTATGTGAGTGTAGCTTCCCTTCACCTTGAAGGACTGCGCGAAATGGTGCTTGCAGGTTTTGTGGTAGGATTCACCTCTCATAGCCTTTTGCTACACTAATTTAATTTAAAAATTAAATTATTAAATTATGAGTTAATTCAGATATATATCATTCAACTTTTTCGATATTTATGAATGTAAAACTATTTTTTTAGTCCTATTTTTAATCTCTCCTCATATATAAATATCTTTTAACAAAAATATATCTGATCAATTAGGAACAGTATGTATCATGCCAACCTTCTCCAAAGGATATACTGTTTTGTTGCAGCCGGCACATTTTGTCTTGGGTGCCAATAAACATGGCTGATAACTTGCTTGAACTCGAGACTTAAAAGATTAGTCATTTGTTTGCTATCTTCTACTGTAAAGGTTAGTTAGAATAATAATTAGCCAAGAATGGTGAAGAGAAGGGACATGGAGTTATTGTAACAATTCATTCTTCCCGCCGGATTTTGTACCTTAGCATCATAGAACCACCATCATCAAGCTATAAGGTGAAGGCAGAAATCCAACAAGAACATAATTCATGTAATATCCCTAATTGTACTTAAGGAAATGAAAATACATATAAATATCCCTAATTATAGGGATTAAATTATAAAAAATATAAAAAATCCTAGAAATGAGAGGTAGAGAGAGTGACGAGGGAAAATATTATTGACATCTTAGTCAGCTTGATATGGTTCTGACTCAAATACATAGGGTTATCCGAGTTACCTCCGAGGTAGACATATCAAGCTCCCGAGGTGCCACATGCGCGAAGATCAAGGTTGAAAAAGATTTTTCGATCCGATTCCTTTGACGCTCAAATTCGTAACCCCAAGTCTCTAGGTGCGAATGCAAGCGGTTAAAAAAGATAGGCCCTTTATGTTAAGAATGTATTTTTATACCTAGTCGTAGAGGGTAAAATATTTCATAGAATATTCTACGCGAATGATGAGGGAGAATACTATGTGAAATATTCTTTGGACTCTTGTCCACGTGGGCAAACGAATGGAAGCTGACTTGAAATCCACGTAACGATTATATATTAGATGATGATTAGCTGATAGTGTATTCTCTATTATTTGTACCCCTGCCTAAAGGCATGCTTTGGGGCTTTTGTAAATGTTGGGCTGGCAGCCCACAAATTCAGCCCATAGTGGGCTTGGGCAGCCCATAGCTCACCCCCTCTTAACCTAACCCTAATTAACATTAGGGGGGTGTGGTGGCTGCCTTTTGGAGACAGAAAAAGACATAAATAGGGCAGCAACATGGGAGAAGGAAACAACCACGGGATTCCAAAGAAAAGGAGGAAAACAAGGTCGAAAAGGAAGAGAAAGAAAGGGAAGAAGACAAGCACAACGTAGAGAAGCTATTCTAAATCATCTAGCAGTGTTCTCATCTCAAGTTAGATCAAATCTACAGTAGACTCTATTAGGATCGGAGCGGCACTAAGAGGGGGGGGGGTGAATTAGTGCAGCGGATTAAAACGTTGGTTTTGACAAATCTTTCGTACGATAAAAATCGAACTCGGAAGTGCTTAACTTGAAAGCGTATTCGCAATGTTGTGCAGCAAAGGTAATGAGGAGATAAAGCAAGTAAGAAGGTTTACAGTAATGTAAATAGCAGCAATGAAATGCAAACAGAGATTACGCCGATTTTAAAGTGGTTCGATCAAATGACCTACATCCACTTGCAAGACCCCTCTTCAATGAGGCTCCCACCTTCCACTAGCAAATCTCTTGAAATGGAAGGGTAAATACCCCTCTTACAACTTTTTACAAGCGATTCACTCTCTTACAGATTTTCAGCAAGAAAGAAGGAGGTGAACACTAGCAAATTGAAAACAAGACTAGCTAAGACTTTTCTAAGGCCTTTCTCTCAAACAATTGCTGCTAAAAAAAGTTGTAATCTCAACTGAGTATTTGGAGGGGT